AATACTTGAAAATTGTGGGTTGGGGGGGGGGGATCAAATTATCAGACCTGTAACTTTTTGAGGCTCCCTCATGGACCTACTCTTCGGATGTTTACTTTTCACATTTATATTTTTGGTTTAAAAAGGGAGCAATTATAATAGTAACCCTTTTTCTTTATTTTTTTTTATAAATTTACTTTTATTGATGCAAAAATGAGGTCATGCTGTCAAGCCCTTGGCCCAAAAACTGATCATGTGCCCCCAACTCCCACACAACAAACTTCTAAAATTGTATATGTGTTCACCTTGAAATTGAAAATTTTCTTCGATTAGTTATTTATTTTATTGATGTTGTTCACCTTGAAATTTTTCGTGTCCGCCATGAAAGTCAAGTTTTATTCGATTAGTCACTTATTTTACGGACGATACCCATCTTGAAATTTTATTCCTACTCATCCCGTTTAAAAATTTCATGTATATATACTCACCTTGAAAAATATTTATGGAATCCGCTACTTACTTATATTATTCTTCTTACCAGGTTTGCTGCAATGAATGCCAAATTATGGTACCTCATGGGAGTTTAGATAAGATATTTCATTCATTGACTTCCCATGGATAAGACTAAAAGGTACTTATATGATATATTGGGTAAGATCTAATTTATATAATAGTTTTATTTTAATATTAAATATTAAATTTTTAAAAATTTAATTTTCAAATCCTAAACTTTAAGAGGAAAATAGTCAGAAGTGAAAGAAATGAAAGGGCTAAAGGAATGTTTCATGAAAGAGGCTGAAGATCCATGTCAACCCCACCAGGTGGGATGGCTAATTAGGTGACAAGGACACATGCCCACTAGTAGTCAATTTTGTTCATTTTTATACATTATCTTTGTATTGAAAACATCTTGGACCTTTACTCTTTCTTTAAATAAAAAAATTATCTTTTTCATGGTGGAAATTCAAAGTACAATTTTCAAACCCCATGACATATTTTTTTTTCTAACAAAGTCAACGGTAAGGGAGATGGTATTTTAAGGCACAACTCTCTTGAATCTTATGTTTGTTCTTAAACCATTAGGGTTTTTAATTTTGAGGTAAACTCCTAATAGTGTATGATGCTTTCCACGTTTGTTAGATTTTAATTCCCCCTCGAGTACGTTACTAACAAAAGTACACTCCTTGATGCACTTAGTATTTTGTTTATTCAATGATCCTCTCATGCGTTTAACTTGATTAAATATCTTCGATGAACCCATCAAAAGGTCCCAGTAATAAAAAAAAATATTGATCTTTCTAAAGGTTTTGAATTCGAACAATTACGTATCCAAATGACGAAACACTTGCTGCATTAGTTAACCATACCAAACTTTTCCACCAAGTTTCAAAATAACTAAACTTTTATTGAACAAATCAAATATTGTTTTTCCTTTTATACATAAATATATCTGACTAGGTATAATATTTCATTCCATATATTTATGAAGTGCATTTTTGTGCCTGAAAAAAACCCTAAATGAAATATATATATATATATATATATATATATATATATATGGTTATAAAAAATGTTTAAATTAGAATCAAACAATATCATAATATTATAAAATAACTATAATCAAATTTAAACAAAAACTCGAACTACTCGACTCGACTCGAAAAAATTTCAAATAAGGTTTGAATTATAAAATGATTTGTCAACTCGAATAACTTAAATTTTTTATTCGACTAGATTGAATTCTCATCCCTAATAACTACTGTATTTTATTAATATTTCACAACAAAATCACATTTACAAACAAATTGGTACAGGTAATGAGATGTTATTATACCTTTTTAATTATCCAATGGAAACATGAATAACAAAAATAAAGTGACAATAATTATGAAAAATATAAGTTGGGAGTTCTTTTGAATTTTTGAAATGAGATATTATTTAGGAACAATTAAAACAGAGAAAATTTTTAATATTAGATGCCGAAGAAAGGGTAGAGTACTTAAATGATCTCCCGATTATAGGATACTGTTTTATTAAGTATTTTTAATATTTAGGAACAATTATAGAGTGTTGATTTGTTGAGCCTCTTGAATATTAAAAGTTGAAAAGATGGTCACCCTATTGTTGATTATGTTCCAAATTTATCATTTTTCCTTTAAAAGAACTTGGTGGTTGTGTAAGCTGAACGTTAACATGAAAATTGATTGAGATTCTGAGATCGTATTTTATTATATCATAGTCAATAGGTTAACGTTCAACTCGAAATACTGTTAATTTTTTAACGAAAAAAAGGACGAGTTTAAAACATAATGAATAAGTGAGTGATCATTTCGTAACTTTTAATAATTAAGGGACTCAACAAAATAATATTCTATAATTAAATGACTATTTTATAATTTTTAATAATCGATAGACTTAATAAAAAAATATCTTATAATCCGGGACCATTTATGTCCTTTTCTAAAAAAAATAGAATCGAAGGGTACGTGAAATGTACACAAGACAAGGGGTGAAGGTGGGGGCAAATGACCAGGAAGAAGGGGAAGAATAAAAATAGTCATTTTCGGGGGCTCTGACTCTGAGTAGAGGATGTGGGGTCCAGGTGTCCGTGCACGCGTGCGCTCCGTGTGGACCCCCAAGAATTTCAAAGGTCATATGAAGGAAGACATGACGTACGCTTTGTCATTAATATTATGTTTAAGGGACTAAGATATAAACAATTTTCAACTATAGGACAAAATAAATTATATATTTACTGCCTAAATGATCAATTTAATATATTTGTTCTGTTTTAGTATCTAAATTTTATGTTATTTTAAAATCATGCGTAACAATTTAATTTATATTTTAATTTGTTATTTTATCGTTAAAAATTTAACAGCGATGTTGGTGTGTCACTGTAAAATAATGTCATGTCAATATTAAAAAAATAAAAAAGATCATATTAGCAGTTCTATTAATTTTTTAAGGTGGGAGACCAAATTGAAATATAAACTAAACGTTAGAAATAATTTAAAAAAATAAAATTTAAGTACCAAAACAAGAAAAATGGTAATAATTTAGGTACTGAATGTTGCTGATATGATAACTCTAATTGTTAAAGAGAATATTATTTTTTTTTAACAATGACAACTATATTTTATTAATAATGGAAATGATCAAAATTATAACGCATCAAAATAAAGAGATAAATTTAGAGACAATAGTTACCAAAATACTCATACAAAAGTAAATAATAAACCTAAAAATACGAAGAAAATTAAAACATTCTATTGAAAATGACGACCAATATCAAAACCCAATAACATTCATACAAACTCCTTGTCTCTGTCGAATGAGATGCTTGACGAAATGGTAAAGGAGTGGAGAGCGAACCAAATAATCTGGCAGGTTGCTTCACTATACAATAACCCATATTTACTGAAAAGATATTATTTAGAATTCAATTTTTTCTTCGCTATATAATTATGATTACAATTCTGGTTATATCAGCAAATAAAAACTTTCTTCCTAATCAAAAGAGAGTAAGGTATTGAGCAGTTTTAGAATTCAGTTTTTTTCTTCGCTATACAATTATGATTACATTACCAAATAATTTTTTATCAAAAGAGGGGATCTGACTATACATGTCCACCGACTAACAAATCAAAAAATAAATGTCGTAATGGTTTAAATAGAATATAATTCTTCCTAAAAATTGTGAATTCTAACGTCTATATATGAGGATATACATGCATTGTCAATAATCAAAAAGAGATTTTAAACATATTTTACGCCAATAATCACACGAATTTGTTTTGGAAATGACAAAAAGATAATGGAGTTCCAAATTTTCTTCTCGACTATTAAGAAAAAAAGAATTTGGAATCAATACTAGTTGGCTAAATTGGGAAAAACCATTCACTCACGACAAAAATGAAGAAATGACTGCAAATTAAAATACAAAAGTTAAGGTAAGGTAAGAATTTTAAAAATTTACCGCTTTCCTAAATTGGAAATGGGTTCACCAAAACTATCTACTTGAATGGTCACTAAATAATGAGGTTTTATTCATAATTATAGTATTATCAGTAAATTTATTTTTGATCTGTCAGAGTTAAATATGTTATCTGACGGTTGTATCTATTTATTCAATCAAATAATTATCGTGATCCTAAGGTTGACATTAACACTAAAAATCAATATATAAATCACCGTATACAATTGTAGAAGAAATCATAAACTCTATTTCTTTCTCTCAATTTCTCTATACATAAATCGACTATTTTTTACCTAGATAAAAAAAATCTTCACAACCATAATTTTACCTCAACACTTCTATTAAGTTATAATCTCATATATTAATAAAGTTACTTTTCTTTAAAATAAATATAAGCATTGTCTAAAATACCATCATTGGCACGAATTATTTAGGCAAAGTATACCCTACATATACTCATTTTTTTATTGCCCTTCAATTCCAAGGCTTTGCCTCGGCTAATCTAAATCGACCCGGATCGCACACATGATTTTGGTGGGTGAGTCTCCCATCGGGAGTTTTCTGCATACACAGGATTTGAACCTGGGACGTTACTTAAGCAATATCAAGTTGTTTAGACACTCCTTTTCCTCCCGACAAAAAATACAAAAATATATTGCCCAATTTGAAAATATACTTGAAATTATGATTGAAAAGAATCAAATTATATAAAACACTTTAAAATGTATAACATGTATTGAAAAATATTTTCAACTTTAGCAGGTAGTTAAAAAGCATCTAAAATATTAAAATCCAAAACAGGAAAATTATTTGATAAAATTCAATTTCAGATTGACCTTTCCCCTTATCTTATCACCCCCAAAATGTCAACCATATTCTTGTTACTTGTTTCTTAACCTGTGTTAATCCTTTGGCTGCTGGCTGCTTCCTGTTCAATATATATATATATATATATATAGCTTTTCATTCAACCATAAATCTCAAACAAAGTAATTCACATTAATAGCAACCATAAGGCAGCTGCAGCTTAGTTTCTTTGGCTATGGCAGATGAGTTTAATACAGGAATAAATTGGTGGGATTCATCGAGGACAGCCGGTTCATCTTCTGGGTTAAACAATAGCTTTGGTTGGGCCACTGAAATGGCTGATATCAAAACAACAGCTGCAGCAAGGTCTTCAATGGATTGCGTCTCATCAGTTGTTTTCCAGGAGAACCATAAGCTTCAAGCCATGGATTGGAACCAAGCTTTGCTGTATGTATACTTGAAATATTGATTCTTTGATAACTGGAAATTGTAGGTTTAAAGCTTCAGTCTTTGTTGAAGCAGCCGTGGGGAGAAGCCTGAGTCTACTTTCGGTTCCATGCTTCAAGACCATATCTTGAGCACATCAACTGCCAACTATCATCAGCAGCAGCATCAACAAACAGGATTTGATCAATTGTGTCATGAGAATAGTTCGACCAATTATCAATATGGCCAGTTAAATTTCTCAAACAATGCTCCTTTTTGGAACCCATCTGCAGCTTCCATGGCTGATCATGTTAAGCCCGCGTTTTCCCCATCATTGCAACTCCAGTTTCCAACAGGAATCTTCGATGAAAAACCACTGGTAAAAAAAAACCTTGTTTGAAGAATCTTTTACCACCAGATTTTTCTGTATTAGGGTTTGGAACATTTTTTTGTGTAAATGTTAGCAGAATATATCCGAAGTTCGAGACACGAGCACCGTGGTGAAGAAAAGTGGAAACGATCCCACTTCTAAAAGGCCACGAAACGAAACCCCATCAATCATGCCAGCTTGTAAGGTACCATCAGCTTGATAAAACTTTCCATAATCAGGGTTTGATTTTCCTTGAAACTTTTTTTTTTTGGGGTGGGATTTGTTTTTTCAAGTTCAATAGCTTTGATTGAAAATCATAGGCGAGAAAAGAGAAGATGGGGGACAGAATCACTGCACTCCAACAATTGGTTTCACCTTTCGGAAAAGTGAGTTTTCTCATCATCTTTTTAAATTTTCGCTTTACTTTCTTAATCAAATACTGTTCATCAGAGTTCATCAACATATTTTGATAATTATAATAATTATTATACGTAGACTGATACAGCCTCAGTTCTCTCAGAAGCCACTGAATACATAAAATTCCTCCATGAACAAGTCAGTGTAAGTTGTCATCAACACCTAGTAATTCCTGTTACAAGAAAACATAAAATGTTAACAGTATTTGTATTAGGTTTTAAGTACCCCGTACATGAAAAACAACGAAGCTGCCATACAATACCAGCAGGTACCAATACAGCATTATATTTTTCTTGCTATAAATATAGATATGGCTCATGGTTTCATAATTGATCATTAAGCTTTTTATATTGCATTAATGGCAGGATCCTGAGAAATCCAATGACCCTGAAGGGCATCTAAGAAGCCGAGGACTATGCTTGGTGCCGGTGTCCAGCACGTTTCCATTGACACACGACTCGCCTGTTGATTTCTGGACACCAACACTTGGATCGACTTTCGGGTAGAAAGTGAAAGAGAGAAAAAGGGTTTGATATTCAAGATGGACTGAGAGGAGTTCGTCCTCTTAAAATTTTATAATTTCGTCCCTAATATAAGATGTTAGGTCCATTCTTGCCGGTAGATATATGCAAGTAAATGGAACTGATAGTGAATGAAAGAGTGAAAGAAGTCACCATTTAAAGGTGAAGTCCCAGAAGGGGAAAAATAATGAAAACAAGAGGGGAAAACGTAGATTAACTTTTTTTTAGCAAATATATTTTCATTTTTTATTATTAATTTTAAACGTTTATTTTCATTCATTTAGTATTCTGTAAAACTAAAAGAAAAACCATGATATCTATGTACAAATACACTAAGCCATGCTTTGGTGCTTTTTGAGTGGTCACATTGAAGAGATTATATTGGAAGGAAGAGACAAGTAATATTTTATATTTTAAAAAATATGTAATTTTTTTAATCCCATTTAATACTTTGAATGGAGACCATTGGGGTAAAAAATCCTACACAATAATCAGTATGTGTGGCCTTCCTAAGTCTTCATTAAAAGCACTTTTATGACAATAGCATGACATATTACTAATAAAATTGGAATAACTTTAATTCACTGCTCTATTTTTATTTTATGTAAAAAAAGATTAAAAAAATATAGTGCTTTAAAATTAAAAATTAACCACAATAATAAATTTAATTTTTAAATATATATATATATTCAAATTGATTTATATTATTTATTAATATTAATATAATAAATTTAACTTTTTAATATTTTCTTTTTTTTCCCTCAAAATTACCTCATGATTAACAAAGTTAATTAAAGATTTCCAAGAAAACCCTATCATTTATAAGACAAAAGAAAAAGGGAAAAGCTTGACATGCATAACAAACTAATCATGAAGAACTTCATGAGATTCTACAATCTAATAATCTTCTTTTGTACTCTTTCTTTTTCTTCAAAGTAAAGAATAAAATTCACAAAGAAAGTTAAAAAATATGCCTATTTAATCTAAAAAAATCAATTGAATTATTTATAGATATATATTTCTTTGCTCCTACTCTAGTTGGCCTCAACCATCTTCCACAATGCTTTGGAATCAGTACTCTTGGATGATCAAATTCACATTGCAAAGTTGAAAAAATAGTAATTTTCTCAACTAACATTCACTTCGGTGAAAAATAATATAATATGAGGTACTATATCCTTTTTTGTTTCCAGAATTGTCATGTGATCGGTATTTCTTATAAATTATATAAGTCATTTCATAATTCGGAGGTCTTCTACGGAAGCTGTTCTCAAACTGGTGTTGGGGTCAGCCTACTATCTTATCTCCCCCTTAACCCATTACATATGGGAACAAGGGACAACCATTATAATAATTTTTTTCATAAAATTCATTTTATTTCACTCATTGATATAAAATCATAGACGGTAGGATATTTGTGTACTTCGAATTTAAAATATTTTGAACCGATGAAAGATAGAGAGTATCATTAAAATTCAGTCCCAATCATTTTACATTTGATCTGTATAAAATTTTATATAATAATCTCTACAACAAGAATTAAGCTATTTTCCAGGATTATTTATGCCACTTAAAAGAAGAAATATTGTATGTTGGGGACATCATTTTGGATCATAATTGAAATATATCTCATTTGATCAAGAAGAAGTAGTAACTTGCCTTCAAAACTACCTTAGATATACTTCTATCATTCATCCATGGGTGAAGCATAATTATAATATCACATTTGCTAACACTTTTTTTTTATATTATATGTTCTCTTTAACAGGAATATTGAATAATTAATTTATATGAACCATTTTTACTTTCTTTTATAGCATTTTCATCAACTTTTAGAAAGTCTATATCGACGCTGGGAACACTCTTGACAAAACATCATCTTGGTTCTAACACTCACATATGGGGATTCACTGGCACATGCTATAAGAAGAGCATTAATACGGTTAAGAAAATTTAAACTAAATACGGAATCATAATCATCCAAACAAATTATTGTAAGAGAAAATAACCTCAGTGACCAAAAATGCTTTATAATATACGATTTTAATCAACTTTTTTTGGATTTGTCAAAATGACCAACTAAATCGCAATGCGATCGATAATTCGCAACGCGATCTCCGGTATCGCAAATCAATTTCCAGATTCGCAACGCGAACATCGACTATCGCAACGCGAACTTCCAAATTTGTTGCGATAGTCCAAGTTCGCGTTGCGATTTATTCCAAATTCGTTGCGATAGTCGAAGTTCGCGTTGCGATTTATTCCAAGTTCGTTGCGATAGTCGAAGTTCGCGTTGCGATTTATTCCAAATTCGTTGCGATAGTCTAAAATCGCAACGACTGGTGGTATTGCATTTGTTTCTTAAGAATTTTCTCTAAAAAGATAGGGACGTGTCGAAGACACGTATTACCACGACCACGACCCGAGACGGACGGCGGCGGCGCGCGAGAGTCCCCCTTGTTCTCTATCACTCAACAAGGAAGTGGGAAAGCCAAGCCTTAAAAAACATTCCCAATAGTGTTTCCAATACTATGTGGGATTAAGCATTACCAACACTTGTTCCCAATACTATGTGGGATTGAGCCTTAAATAGTGATATTATTTGTGAATTATAGTTAATAACTTTAGTATTTTGTATGAAAAGTATTTGTGGTTCGTTTAGTTTTCATGAAATTCTAATTTATTTTCAATTGATTGTAATTGCACGATAACAAATTTTTTTATTCTCGCGAGTGATGTAATTTTTTTTTGAATGTTTTACTTAAAATTGCAATAATCGCGATTGATTGTAGATTGACTTTTAATTATGACATATTTAATCGTATAATACTAATGTAATTGGTTGCTGATTCAGTTGTTTTAAGGTGCATGATTGTTAATTGTTTCCTGAATAATCACATAGTATTGGAAACAAGTGTTGGTAATGCTCAATCCCACATAGTATTGGAAACACTATTGGGAATGATATTTAAGGCTTGGCTTTCCTACTTCCTTGTTGAGTGATAGAGAACAAGGGGGACTCTCGTGCGTCGCCGCCGTCGCCGTTCGTCTCGTGGTCGTGGTCGTGGTCGTGGTAATACGTGTTTTCGACACGTCCGCACGAATACTATCTTTTTAGTGAAAATTCTTAAGAAACAAATGCAATATCACCAGTCGTTGCGATTTTGGACTATCGCAACGCAAACTTGGACTATCGCAACGAATTTGTAATAAATCGTAACACGAACTTGGACTATCGCAACAAATTTAAAATAAATCGCAACGCGAACTTGGACTATCGCAACGAATTTGGAAAATCGCAACGCGAACTTGGACTATCGCAATGCGAATATGTAAATCGCAATGCGATAGTCGAAGTTCGCGTTGCGAATCTGGAAACTGATTTGCGATACCGGAGATCGCGTTGCGAATTATCGATCGCATTGCGATTTAGTTGGTCATTTTGGCAAATCCAAAAAAAGTTGGTTAAAATCGTATATTATAAGACATTTTTAGTCACTGAAGTTATTTTCCCTTATTGTAATACCCTAATTTTGTCCGAAGATCTCAAATTACATTGAAGACAATAAAGGATCAATTTGAAGCTGCATGTGTCGAATGTTAAATCAGTTCGAATGACATCAGCGGAAAAGAGGGCGAAGTTCTGCTTTTTGGTTAATGGGTTTGCGGAGAAGATATCTCTATCGATTTGGTCCAACAAAAGCTCCTCAAAAAGTTAGACAAGGGCGCTCAAAAAAGGCAATCATTCATTCTAATAGATTTGCAAGATAATATCAAAATTTAATTCTAAATCTAAATAAATTCACGAACTCGTGTCAACAAAACTACTTGAACTTGAATCATGGTGACTCCCATTAAGACTGCTCTTTGGTTTGGAAACCACTTCTAATATCTTAGAAAGTGGGGAATAAAAATACAGCACTGCAGTTTCCAATTGAATGTCCGAAACAACACAAAGCCACAGCTGACGCCAGTTTAGTCATTTGAACGATCAGCAAACTTATCATAAATCAAAACCAATGTAAGGCCTAACACACGAACAAGCATATATTTGTTGTTTTGCATATTTGTAAAATACAGGAAATTGAAATTCCAGAGAAAATAACAAATGAAAAAGGAGAAATAGTGGGGGGGGGGGTTCTTTTGTAAGTAAATTGAAATCAGGCAGCTGTCTTGAGTTTCTTTGTGATTCCGGCGAAGTACTTCCCTTGGTGGAAAGCTTGTGCCAACTCAAGTTCGGATGGCATTCTTGATCCGTCTCCGGCGTAGGTTCCTGCACCGTAAGGGCTTCCACCTTTCACTTGCTCCATCTCGAACATGCCAGCACCGAAGCTGTACCCAATGGGAACGAATATCATCCCGTGGTGAACAAGCTGAGTGATTGCAGTCAACCTGTGATTGATTTGGAAAAAAAAAATTATTTACATACAAGTTTTGTTTCCATTGTCATTCCATTAATTTTTTTTTTTTTTGGGTAGTAGTGAGTCCATTATATGATGTTGATATAAGAACTTACGCTGTAGTCTCTTGTCCGCCACCCTGGGATCCAGTGCTATAGAATATCCCGGCAGGTTTTCCTGCAAGTTGCTGAGTTCTCCATAGACCTCCAGTTGCATCCATAAATGCTTTGAATTGGGCAGACATCATTCCGAATCTTGTTGGGAAGCCAAACATAAACCCATCAGCCTCGGCAAGATCTTGTGATGTAATAATCGGTACATCACTTTTTGTTGGTGCGCTCATCTTTCCAAGAATCTCTTCCGATAGAGTCTCGGGAACCTGTACCGAATATATCCACAATTACTTCATTTAAATTTTCAATTCTACAAATGTTGTTTGACAAATAATCCTGGGAAGCTTATCTATATGAATTTGAAACAACAGGGCTTAGCAAAACTTGGTTAAACAAATTAAAGGCAATGAATCAAATCAAGGAGGTTTAATTATAAAACAAAGCATATTTATAATGATTTCATAGATAAAAAATACTCCCAACCTTTCCGTATCCGTAAATAAATTACTCTAGACTACTATAAGAAAGCAGTTTTTTTTTTACCACAGCAGCATGGTGCGCGTTATTACCTGCCATAGTGTGGCTTCTACACCTTCAACAGATGCAGCACCTTTCTTTATTTCCTCTGCAAGTTTTTCCACATGTCCGTACATGGAATAGTATCTATAACATAAGTGGGAAG